TAAGTCTTAGACTCATCGAATCTGACCTTCTTCTTGATGACGTTCGATGCAACCTTGTGGAATGTCCCCTCGTCATCACTCCATTCATGGACAAGTGCAGGAGTAGCCTTTGAGCCTGATGCTTCGGTGTTTGGAGCGGTGTTGAATAGATGAGGATCATGGCGTTTGTTGCATTTGTCTCCATATCGGCACTTGCCCTTAGCCCAGTGCCAGCATGGTTCATCAACCTTCTTGGTCTTGTTCGCTGGAGATTGACTTCTTGGAGTTCCTGGCTTTCGACCATTACCTTTTGCGTTCTTATTCGCATCAAACACCTTTTGATCGTGACTGTATTCACAATCTTTGCCTTTTCTGCATGCTTTCTTGATGAAGTGGAAGTGGCATGGGATCTTCTTCTTGGACCTAGGACTAGCACTTCGGCTGTTTGGTCGATCCTTTCCTTTCCCTTGACCTTTCCCTTTTCCTTTTGCATGCTGTTTCGGTTGAGGTGATGGTAGAACTGGAGCTGCATCGGCCTTGGCCTTCGCCTTAGGTGCTGCCTTCTCCTTGGGAGTGGCTTTAGGCTTCGCTTTCGGATTGGCGTCTGGTGCAGCAGCAGTTGGATTCGGGGCAGGAGCAGTAGGCTTGCCGCCGCCGCCTGCAAAGTCTCTTGCGTACTTCTCCCTAGCGGCCACATGCTTGTCTTCTCTAATTCTGGAGATGTGCCTTTCGATGACGTCCAACAGGTAGCGATAGCTTCGTCTTTGGTCTCCTTCAATCCATGACTCGTACTGCTTGATGTCAAACATCATAAGACTCGAGTTTCGAATCTTCTTGTAGAGAGCGTCACGAAGCCAATCATCAGGAGGTACATCATCCGGCATCATGTTTGACACCATCTCCATCCATTTCTCGTAGAACACTTCCAGGTTCGAGTCACCGAGATATTTCATTGATACGATGTGCTCCATGGTGAATGCTGTCTCTCGTTGACCTGGGGTTCTGAAGTGTTCCAAGATCATAGCCAAGATTTCTCGTCCCATCACGTAGGTTCCTCTTCGGCTATGACTCTGTGTTCTCAATCTCAGTTTGATTGCTACATGACGAGCAACATCACCGGCTTGGGCTATCACGTTTGACAATGCAATTGACAACTTGGCGTCAATTGACTGATATCGTTGCCCTCCACTGTCATTCAATAGCTCGATGTCAGGATTTGGTCGAATAGCCGGCTGTAGCCATGCTTCCCATGCAGCTTTGTCCCCATCATTTGCGGCAAGAACAACACTCTTGATGAGATCTGATTGCCAAACCCCAAGATTCTGTTGCTTCGGCCATGGGCTAACGTAGACTTTGTCAGCCTCACGTCTTGACATTCTCGGTACTTCTTCTGCCGTGTACGCCGCTGTGGAGATGTCATCCGCTGAATCACGTTGTGATCCTCGAACTGAAGGCAAACCAGGAGGTTCTGGAGGTGGTCCTGGACCGTTGGGCCCGAAAGGGTCAGGAGGTCCATCAGGGTCAGGCGGACCGCCCCATCCGCTCGGAGGCTTGTAGTAGTCCTTTTCAGTTCCATCGGCGATCTTGTTGTCAACTTCTTTCAGCAGATCGGTGATTCTTTTGTTCGATAGAGAGGATTGCTGTTGAGAAGGTCCAGCATGTCCGCGATAGGAATGAGCCATATTTGTCTCATAGGTCAACTCCTTGTCGATCTGCGAAACCCAAGATTTTAGGATAGCGTTCTCAGAGTTAGCCTCACTCACGTCATTCTCCAGTTTGTCAATGACCAGTCTTGATGCGAGATCATAGTTGGGGATGCCTGCCGAATAGGGAAGTGTATCAGGGCTGACCCTAGACATAGATGTTTCAGAATCTTTGAGACTCTTTCTTAGTTCATCTAGGTGACGTTTCATGTCAACAATCTCAGAATTCTTGATACCAATCTTTTCATCCCTATCCTGAATTTCCCCCATGAACATGCATGATCTCTCATATTGTTGAACACCACTAGCCAATTTCATTTTGCGCTCACTTTCTAGTTCAGATCTTAAAGTTCGGACTTCAGCATTGGAGAAGGACGACGCCCCTACATCCGCAACTTCAGCCAATCTCTCTTTTAACAACATGTTCTCTTGTAAACATTCATGAACTTCATGATCTAGATCCTGAACCCTGATTTGAGCGATTTTGGCTTGATTACGTAGATCTTCAACAAGCATTTCATCGGGGCCACGACCGTCGGTCGTAGTGCCCTGAGTCAACGATCTTCGCAACTTCATGTTCTGCAACTTGATCTCATCCTTTAATTCGCAGTTCATCTCCTGCTCGTTGGTGTAGAGCTCTTCATAGTGCTCTGCCCTTGCGATCGAATTTGCACTAGCCTGCGATTCAAGCCTCAGGTGTGATATCGCTTCGGCCTCGTGGTTCCTGTATGATGCAATTCTTCTGACAGTATCATGTTCAGTATTTCGATGCTTCAGATCACTTTCCAACTTGGCCTGATTTGCCTCGAAAACTTTCTTTCTAGATTCTCTAGTGATCTCTTCGATACTGCTTTCATACAACTCGGCCTGTTTACGAGACTGAACCAGAGCTTCACTCAATAGCTGATTCCGTTCAGACAATTCATGAACTGTAATTGATTGTTGTTGGCTAATCACTTCAAGTTGATTGCTAGAGAAGGATGCCATTTCGGATCGATTACGATATTCCATGATTGAGTTCTGGAAATCTGTCTGCATTTCTTGACCTTCATTGTATAGTCGATTGGCAATATCGGTGGTTAAGACATTGGTTTGATGAAGTTGTTGCAGTCTTGCCTCCGTATTACCCAATAGTCCTTGAAGGTGGTGTACTTCATCCTTGTACTCTTCCTGGATCTCCATACCACGTTGATGGATCCGTCTTGCACCATGTTCCATTAGGGCACCTCGGCGTTCAAGGTCTTGGATGCGTATTGTTGCACCTTCGTCTTCCTGAGATGCTACCATTAGTTCTGCTTGATATTCTGCAACCTCATTTGCGGAACATGACAATCTATGATTGAGTGCATTGACCTCATCAATTACATTCTGGTTGTGTTCCTGAAGATACTCAGTGAATCTGATCTCGATGTCATGAATCAGTTGATCTCTAGATGCAGCGTATGCTTCCATGTGGTTCAACTGATTACGTAGGGATTGACATTGTGCCCGTAGTTCTTCTATCATGGCAATAGGTTCACTAGCCACAGAAGTATCCGTTGATCTCCTCTTAACACGACTATCCCCGGTCCTCTCACCAATTCGGTCGGTTACGGCCCTGGTGGATCTGTCCCTTGGGGTAGTTCGTCCTCGAGATGGTCGATGCCCTTGGCGGACAACATCACTTCGAGCACTGTTTCGAGAAGATCTTGGTGTACTTTGGGTGGATATCCTTCGTCTGTTTGATGTTACTTGCCATCCGGACTGTGTAGTTCGGGTTGAGCGTATCCCACCACTGTCTGCCGTATCACCAGGGGAAGATTGATTGACCTCCTCGACCGGCATAGCAGTGTTCTCATTGAAGGTAAACTGCGTGGTGCGCGAATCTCCGCTGCCGCCTTGCATCTTTGCAATGATGAGCTGATTGGTCCTTTGCGTCCACAATCAATTGCTCAGAAGGCCCGGCTACCAGCACGCAGGTATCACTCTCCCGGCGGGAGAAGTGAGCCCTATTGCTGATAACCTGTGAACAATTTTATCCTTGTTCTGGATGTGGTTATTGAATCGTAATACCTGTTATGCTGGTAGTTCCGGACAGTGACACAGCATGGCAAGCAAAGGTCGGACTTTTTCCTCGCGCAGGGACTTGAGCCAGTACGGCGTTTCGATGTGCAGTTGTGCATGCACATGATACATACCCTAGCGTTCAGTTCCCTTTGACATATACATATATATATATCGCGAAGAAATAAAACCATGAAAACTACGCAACTGAGGTCTACTAAGATGAAGTCCCTGATTTCTGTAGCCATCCTAAATTACTGAAGAAACTCTCCACACTCATATCGCTTTGTAGCAAATTCCATGCAGATTCAGACACTGCGTGCGTCGCGTCGCGTCATTCTTCGATCACTGAGTTGAGCATCCCGGTGTCAAAATGTGGAGGGTCAACGTCTGCTGGAGAGGTCACGTGACTTCCCCAAAATGCATCCAGCCACATTGCCGGTTGGTGGTTTCAACCCTGCCCCTCTGAAAAATATGACAGTCACATGGGAAGGATGGCATCCCATATATTATGGAAAAATAACAAATGTGCCAAACCACCAACCAGATTGCCTTGACAAAAAGAGCATGGAACTATGAGTGTGTCTCTCCCAAATAGCTGGAACGCTGGATATCGCAAAACCTGATTTTCCAATCTGTTTTCAGCTTGACTAACAGGGATTCCCATAATCAATGGATTTTGATCATCCCCAATATACAAATGTTAGTATAATCCCGTATAATCTATCATCAACCAACCATCATTTATAAGTTATATCCACTTATATACATCCTCATGTTTGGTTTGGATTCTGATAATTTGGGATTCTCTTCTTACTTGTGCTTAGTAGGGAATGAGGGAATGATCCAACCCCCATTCCCATCCATTCCCTACGTTTAGCACCAGCAAGTCATTTTTGGGCTTGGCTCACTGCGTGATTCCCACAATGCTTCCCCGTCCGCAAGTGGTATGTCATTGGACTGCTTTGAACATCACTGGAAACCCATAGGGTTTTTTTCCATTGGTTTTTCCCATGAAAAAAAAGGGGCTAAACCTGGTTAAGCATTGTCCCGTAAAGACAAAATCCATTGGTATAATTTAACCAAAAATTGCTATAATTTATAAAAAAAATGTAAAATGTTCCGAAAAAAATTGGTACCCTCTGGTAAACTAACGTAGCTATAGAAAATCACCATTATTAATGGGTAAATCCACTATAAATGGCCATTTTCAATAGCTACGTTAAATTACCAGAGGGTATAATCCTCGAAAAATCGTCCAACCGTCGGAGCCGCCTATCCATCTCTTGGATCGCCAGTTCCGCCGCCTTCTCGCTGTCGAAACCGATGAAGCAGAAGCTCTCGGTTTCCTCCCGGACCGGTCTCGCCCGGGTGATCTGAAGCAGCCAACGAGTTTTGAAAATTCCCCATTTACAACTGTTGATTTACTGGTGGTTTACTGGTGGTTTAATGGTGCTTTAATGGGATTTAGTGAGATTTACTGGTAATTTCATGGCATTTACTGGTAATTTAATGGGATTTACCCTCTGGTAAACCAAAATAACTATGGGAAGTCACCATGTATAGTGAATTTTCCCATGAAAAATTGTGAGTTTCCATAGTTTTATGTAAACGTTTACCAGAGGGTAACATGATATATCCCCACTTTGATATACTGGGATATATCACCAATGTTTAATACTGGGATATAAAATCAGCTAAGATGATAAATAGCCATGGTTTTTTGAAAATTGCTGAGATCCAAATATCAAACATTTAAAAAATATGTTCAAATGGAGATGTTCTAGGTGACGGCGTCCCTCGAAGGGCGGGACTGTTGTCACTTTTGTACATTGTCTTTTTTTGTGGGGGTTTTGGGGGGGTGTAATAGTGTCCTGCGGTCTGCGTTGTCAAAAACGATTCCCTGATACGTTGTAACATCTTCGTCCAGTAACTTGCAAGACGTTCCTGATACGTTGTAACAACATGTAACAACAGCTGCCTTGATGAGACATTGCCTAATATGGCAATGGTTGCATACTTCGTGTTGGCTCCTGGCTACTCCCTATGGGACCAGTTAGGTGAAACGCTGAAAGCGCCGCACTTCGACAGGCGCCGTAACTAATCTTTCTACCTTTGAAAATAGCAAAAATTGATCATTGGAAATGGGGATTCAACCAAAACCCGGGACTGGAGAATTAAGGAATTCAACCAACATGGGACTGTTTCATGTTTTAAGCACCAGTTGACTTAGCTGTTTTGCCGCAAGTGGTATGGTGAACTATAGAAGCCTGGATAGACAGACACCAGAAAGTGGGCAAAGATGTGGGATATCAACGGAAAAAAACATCATAAAATGCTTTGACTCTGCAAGATACCCTCTGGTAACATTACAAAAAACTATGGAAAATTACCTTTTTTTATGGGTAAATCCACTATAAATGGGCCATTTTCAATAGCTAACTGGTGATCTTTATCCATCCACATTGGGTGGTCAAGTTATTATTGGCTACCCCAATGGATGGTGAAAATACTAAACATATCCTAAAATTCAATAGACATACCCTCTGGTAAACTAACAGTTTGCTATTGAAAATGCCCCTTTTTTTCGTTGATTTACCCATTAATAGCAGGGTGGTTTTCCATAGTTATGTAAACGTTTACCAGAGGGTAGTTGAAGTACTACCTGGAGCAATTGTGTGTTTTCTTCTGGCATCAGAATCCATCTAAAATATTATATAAGATATATATATATATATATATACATGTTGCAAAAATAAAACACATTCCAATCTCTGGTCCCATTTTTCGACCACATTTTTGACCTCCAAAAATTTGTTGGACCGTCCTTGTGCTTGAGGGAGATGAACTGGATGTTCCCAAAGTCCTGAAAATGCTGTTCCACCTCGCTCCGTCTCACCTGGCAGGTTTTTTTTAAGGCAGCAATTTTTTAAGGCTGTGATCAAGAAAATTATAGATATTTCACATGATATTTCACAACGTATTAATTAGTATACATATATTAAATTTATTGCTATATATATATAGATAATTATATATTTAACCATATATATATATATGGTCCCGTCCTCCGTCTCTCCACCCCCCCCCCCCATGGGTTGGGTCCCCAGGTAGTAGCCCCAATTCCCTTCTATTTGCAAGCTATTGGCAGCATTTCTGAGGTCCAGCGTCGTATTTGCTAGGTCTTTGCAGCATTTCTGACTACCAGCCTCGCATTTACTAGGTACATGCTACCTTTTAGGCGACCTACGTAGCACACATACTCCTTCAAAGTACCTACGTGCTACCTATAGTCATACATACATGTGCTATGTATCTACTGTATCTACTTCCTGTTTACTACCTGTGTACTCTGACAACACTACCTCTGTTGAACATATACCGTACCTACCATACATGTCAATGATGCCATGCATACCATACCTATCATATCTATCATACATACCATACATACCATACATATGAAATGTAATTACCACACCTACCATACATACAATAGCATACATACAATAGCAAGCATACATGCCATACATACCATACCTACCTTAGATAGGACATATTCCATACCCATCATAGTAACCATACATACCATACAGACCATACATACTGTCATATCAAACATACCATATCCAACAGACTTACATACCATACCTACCATCCATACAATACCAACCACTCATGCCATACATACCATACCTACCATACATACCAAACATACCATACTTTCCAAACATGCCATACCAGACCGACCATACACACCATACATACCCACCATACCATACCACACCCCCACCACACCACAGGGGGGGGAGGGGGACAGTGCCACACCCCCACCACACCACAGGGGGGGGAGGGGGAAGATCTCATATGGGACCAGTATATGGGACCCATCCACCACACCACAGGGGGGGGAGGGGGACAGTGCCACACCCCCACCACACCACAGGGGGGGGAGGGGGAAGATCTCATATGGGACCAGTATATGGGACCCATCCACCACACCACAGGGGGGGGAGGGGGACAGTGCCACACCCCCACCACACCACAGGGGGGGAGGGGGAAGATCTCATATGGGACCAGTATATGGGACCCATCCCATATGGGGGGGGGGAGGGGGGGGGGTGGCAGGGCCTGGTGCATATATACGTAACAATAACAATATGTGTAGACATTTGCAAATGACAAATAACATGATACCCTCTGGTAATGACTAACAGTTTGCGAACTTGAAGCCATGGCCCAGTCGAAATAGTTTGCAATTTACTTTAAGAGAAATGGTGGATCTTTCCAGTTCGTTTTTTGTATGTTACCAGAGGGTAAATCCCCATTATATCCCAATACACCATTATAAATCCCTAGAAATCTTCATGGTATCCCTATATATCCCCTATAAATCCCATTAAATAACACAGTTTTCTCCTGGCAAAATCACCATTTGATCAAAAGTTAAGAAGTGCTCACGGCGCCTTCTCAGGCAGATTGCCCACATGGATGCGACGATTCTCATGGCCTGCCTGAGATGCGATGGGTTGAAATTCAATGGATTGGTTTAATGAGGATTATATGGAGATAATTACTGGGGATTATATGGTTATGTACATACTGTAGAAAACATATGTGTATGATTATATTATATATAATGGTGTTATATAATCATATTATCTTAAGTTATGATATGTTATATTATGTTATACTATATTTTATGATATTATATTATATCATGTTATACTTTGCTATATTATATTATAACTAAATTAAATTATATCAAAATATGTTATAGTATTGTAGCGTATATTGTATTGTATTGTATTGAATTCATTATATATCATATCATTTCATATTATATTGTATCAAATATATTATGTGATATTGGATGATATCGTATTATGTCATATTAAGAAATTGCTCTGTAGGTTATTCCATTATGTGTATATATATATTATGTTTTACTATACTATATATTATTGTATTTAATTGTATTTTAATATGTTATTATAAGTTATTACACTTTATTTTATGATTATACTATATTACTATGGTACACTACTATATTATAGTATTATATTGCTATATTATATTATATTATACTAAATTATATTCTATTCTATTATATTATATTACATTATGTTATATTGTATGTAATATATTGTATTATATTATAGTAGATTATATTACATTATATTACATTATATTATATTACATTTTATCATATCATGTTATATCATACATTTTATCATATCATGTTATATCATATTATACTATATTATACTATATTATACTATATTATACTATATTATACTATACTATACTATATTACAATATATGATAGTATAGTATAGTATAGTATAGTATAGTATAGTCGAGTCTAGTCTATTGTATTGTATTGTATTGCATTCTATTATTTATCATACCATATCAAAAAATATCATATGATATCGTTCAATATATATATATACATTATCTTAGTATATTGTATTATATATAATATTCTATATTCTATTTGTTTTTTATCATATCATACTATTATATTATATCATATTATATTTTATTATATTATAATATATGATAATATATCACACTATATTATGTTTTATTATGTTTCGTTAATATATTTTGGATTATACTATATCATACTATATTATACTATATTCATTATACTATATTGTATAACATACTATATCATATTATATCATCTTAAACTATGATTCTATTGCATTACTATAATATATTATATCATATCATATCGTATTATACTATATTATATTGTACTATATTATATTATATGGTATTTTATTTTATATTATATATTATTATATTATATTATATTATATTATATCATTTCATATCATATTGTATTATATTATAATTTATCATATTGTATGATATCATATCATATCATATCATATTATATCATATCAGATATTACTATTGTACATATCTATATATATATGTTATATATATATGTGTCATATATATTATAACTGTTATTATGTATGTATATCAATATATATACATGAAAAGGTTGGATTTTGATGGGAATTCTGAATGAAATTTGTCCTCCAATGGGAATTATGTCGAATTGTATTAATACAGCAATGTCATAAACCCACTTGGGGATGGTAGATCCTATTGCTAACTTTATATGGGATTCTATGGGAAAACCAACATACATCACGGTTTTTTCCGGGAAAATCTTCACTGGACACCTGGACGCTTTGCCATGAACCGATTCTTGGGAAATCGATGGACTTTCTCCAAAAATCGAAATGCCGAAATGTCTCTTTTTGTCCAAACGCCGAGTCTTTTTGCCCAAAAATCAAAAAAAACGGAAGGCTTCCGGGTTTTAATGTCAGACAAAGCTTTTCTGAATTCTGGAATTCGGTGATGACATTCAGTGGAATTCGGTGCAACCGGCCTTAACTTGATCTTTCATTGGGATGTCTTCACCACCTGTCACAGGGAAGATGGGAAACTGGGGTCTGAAAAACAAAAACATATCTTCACTAGGACACTAGGATATATCTAGAAGTATCTGGGCAAATTACATAATTTCACTAATTTGATTAAGGCCATTTGGGGATGATTCCCCTTATTCACCATGATTCCAGGGGTCGTTCGCAGTGAGGTCGTTATAATTTACCCAGAAGTATCCTTGGAAATCAATTATAAGCACAATTGAATATCGACCGATCAGTTTCCTGCTGAAATACTCAAGACAAAGTGCCAAATGGTCTGTATTCATTGCAACATTTCTTAGGTGCTACCCTCTGGTAATTTAACATAACTATGGAAAATCACCATTTTTCATGGGAAAATCCACTATAAATGGCCATGTTCAATAGCTATGTTAGTTTACCAGAGGGTAACGGGAAACCAACGGTTTCACCCATCAGTTCTACCACTCACCGCAAGGTGAAAATTGGCTGTTGCTCTGCTGAATCTCCATTCCTCCTTCCAATGTAGGTGTTCTGTTCACCCGTGGGGATTAAGCCATCGGAAAAAACAATCACCAGATGATTCAAGGCTACATCCCCCATTTACCAAACCAACAATTATTTTGCAATATATCTACAAGTAGCTGACACATCCAACAGAATTCAATGATGACCTGCATCACGCCAGTACCGCGAAGGGCGTCGATCGTCCTGCCAAATTGGCCAAGGATCTAAACAGCAAGAATGTCGAGTTGCACCGGCATAAAACATATCTGGTTGGTGGTTTCAACCCCTCTGAAAAATATTAGTCAATTGGGATCATGATTCGAAAAATAAAAAATGATCCAAACTACCGACCAGTGATGACTAAAAACCTGGATTTTTTCTGGGCAAATCCAAAAAAAATGTTCCTTCAACGATTTTTTTAACAAACACACCCTACAGGATGGGACCCTGTTATAAGTTGGTTTTTGGGGCCCCATCGAAATATATATAAATATATATACTTATTTGCGTATCATACACCAACTTGTTATTATAGTCTGGTTGGTGGTATACCTACCCCTCTGAAAAATATGAAAGTCAGCTGGGATGATTATTCCTAATATATGGGAAAATTAAAAATGTTCCAAACCACCAACCGGTAGTTACAAACCAACTTAGCTAACGAACTGGGGCCCCATCCTGTAGAGATAGGGATAGCTGGCTTGCAAGCGTGGTCGTAAGCTAATGATACTTAGAGCAACCTCGCCTTGTAAGCCTTGGTCTACCATGAGCCACAGAAACGGCTCAGCTGCTTGAAAGGATGGTGATCTCATGGGGATTAAATGGTGATTTTCCATGGGATTTCATGGTGATAGAATGGGGATATCATGATAATTCATGGTGGTTTTGGTGATATCATGGAGACCAACAAACACCAAGGGAACACCAAGGGAACCACAAGGGAACCACAATGGAACCACCAGGTAGCCGGTAGCCACAACCAGCAACAACAACAACAACTACTACTACTACTGCTTCTACTTCTACTTCTACTTCTACTTCTACTACAACTACAACTACAACAACAACAGGTTAAGTCTTCACTGTGGTAACATTATGCAATGTGGGTGATGATACGACCAACAATCACGAAAAAGCTCATCAATAATGTACTTTGTTCATCCTGGCTAGACATTAGCGTCACTCAATCGATGATGGGCACCCCTATGTATGGTACTTTTTATTGGGGAAAATGATGACACCGTTTTGTGGCCATCAAATTAACATAATCTAATTCATATGTCTGATTCTATTGCCATAATTCGCCCTATCTACATATCCAATCTATTTGGCACACGCAGCTAGCCATAGTCTGGAAATAATGTTCTTTCATCTTCTTCCCAAGCTTTGTCCCTGGCCGGCCTTTCGCCAGTAGTTGTTGTCCCAGTGTTGATGACCTGGTTGGCCGACTATCCCGTAAAAAGATGTAAAAAGTTCGATAGTTCACCTGAAAATGTGGTGATGTTCCAGTTCGTAAACTGTAACAATTACCCGAGGGTCAATAGGGGATAATCGTAGTTAAACCAATGCATCATTGGAATTCTAAGCGGAAAATCATCTCTATTCCCTATTCATAGTGGTCATCCATAAGGAAATAAAGGATATGATCAACTTAATATGATTCTTGCCTTTGACCAAACATGGTGAATATATGTGAATGTTCTATCTAACACATGGCCGTTTATCATGGGAGCAACAATGATAAAACCTGAGAAAATTGCAGGTACCCCATGTTCAGAGAAGCCCATATGTGGATTTATACGGGTCTTCTGTTGGATCAATATTCTCAGAATCATTTTCGGATTAACGTCTATCTTGGATTAATGATAAATGTTCAAAGCTGCAAATGAGGAATATCACATACACATGTATGTATGTCTACATAGTACCCTACCAAAAAGCTGTACATTCGAAAAGGGGGGGAAAAAATCCTGACCGACCATTCACTAGTCCTTCTCGTGGCATCGATTCCTGCAATGGCTCCTGAGACCATTCCTAAAGAAGATATTTCCAATTTGGTACAAGATGGTACCCCCCCCAGTTATAAATTGGTTGTGATACATTATAAGCCCATGAAAACTATAGATATATCATGATATATCACCAACAAAACCCATAGTTATTAGATTTATAAACCATAGATATATCACCTATAAACCATAGTGGAATTGGAAAACTAGTTCGAGATATCACCAACAAAAACCATGTTGTGAGTTATTGAAGTTATTTGCACGCACGCACCAACTGAACGCTATCGCTCGCTCAAACGGGGGCACCATCCTGTACTGGTGACCCTGGTAGCCACTGGTGATCCAAAATCATCCCCGGGATGTGGGTCTGTTTGAGGTGATGGATCACCGAAAGTTACATCCCCTGACACCAACGATGTGAAAAAAAAAGGGCCCGGCCCGTGTGCCCTATTTTTTCTGGCACAAACTTTTGGACCCTCGTTGGATGTTTTCCTAGCGACTCTTGTCACGACAAGACTGTCCATGTCTACAGGGTGGGCCTCACCGTGATTTTTTAGGTTTATAACTCCACTAAACCTACAAGTAGTTGTTTTAGTCGGTCAGGAAATTATAATGCCAATTTTGCAGGTCATGATAATTACCCTCTGGTTATTTAACATAGCCATGGGAAATGGCCCATAGAAATAGATGGTTTACCGAACTTAAAAATGGTGGATTTTTCCATGGCTATGTTAGTCATAACCAGATGGTAAATCCCATTAAACCACCATTAAACCACCATTAAACCACCATTAAATCACCATTTTCCTATGGTTTTCCTATGGTTTTCCTATGGTTTTCCTATGGTTTTCCTATGGTTTTAAGTTTTCCTATGGTTTTCCTATGGTAGTCGCCATGTTTAGCCAGTTGGCCGGAGCTTCGTTCACATCCACATCCGGCTAGCCCAGAAGGCTAGAAAAAACAGACGCCATCCCCAATGGTTCTTTGAAAAATTGGGGATAGATGGACCATGTATAGATGATTTACCTATTGATTTCTATGAATTACCTAGGATAGATGGATTATGATGGGCCACTACCTATGTATTTCCGATGTATTTCCATACATGGACCATTTCCCCACATGGTACATCCCTAGAATTAGGAGCATTAAAACGCCAGTCATGATTGGTTAATGAGATGCTTTACTATTTCGGAAATACCACATTGTCGAGAATGTAGATTTACCCTTCAGTAAACCACGGAAAGTGGATGAAATTGGACCATGTATAGATGATTTACCTATTGATTTCTATGAATTACCTATTGATTTAACTATTAAATTTACTATATAAATTGATCATGGTGAAAAAATCACCTGTTGATTTCTCCAGCAACGGCTTCCCACACCTCGGTTATGTCGTTCCCAACGATCTTTCTTGTCTCGCCAGTCATCCCTCAGCGAGACAGATGCCAGGATTACCTATCAGGATTCCATTATCTTGCAACTGGTTGGTGGTTTTAACCATCTTGAAAAATATGAAAGTCAATGGGAAGGATTATCCCATATATTATGGAAAATAAAAATGTTCCAAACCACCAACCAGACAAGGTTGTGCCCCCCAGTTACAAAGTTGTTATAATCCCATGAAAACTATAGATATATCGACCATAAACCCATAGTGAAATTGGAGTTATTTGCACGCACCAACTTAGCTAACTATGGGGCACCACCTTGTAGAAATGGTGGTTTGGTCTATGGTGATACCTATGAATGATGTGTCTATCATTCGTGATGATGTACCTATGATATGTCTATGATTCGTCCAATGATGGTGATACCTATGTGATACCTATGTGATACCTATGATTCGTCTAATGGTGTTTGGGGATTACCTATATGAGGATAGTTGCTTTTTCATGTATTGGTATATCAAGATAGTTGCTTTTTATGTATGAGGATAGTTGCTTTTTAGGTTACTGTTGGGGATGGGGATGAGATATACAAGATATTCCCAGGTTTGATGTCTATGAAGGGGGGCAGAGGATCACCCCCATTTTTCGTTTGCATCCAAAAATTGGACCTATAAAAACCCAATCATAGAATGTGAGGCCCCCGTTCGATAGCGTTCAGTTGGTGCGTTTATAACTCCAATTTCACTATGGTTTATGGTATTTACAACGAACTATATAGTTACTGGGGCGAATCTAAACCAACATTCACATCACGTTTAGGGGCCCCACATCATAGAATACAACTCTTCAGAGTTTTAGGAGAATCGATCAATGGTCATTTCAGGAACCTAAAATGGAGGTACTGTACCATATAAGGCCATATGTTGTGGGTATATTCCCTTATATAGGTCTTACATAGACCTTATATAAGGTAGGTACCTGCAATCAATCGGATCCTGAAATTCCCATAGAATCGAGAACCTGTAATTTTGGTGATGGATATTTTTGTCGTTTCAAACCGTCCGCTTCAACGGATTCAGCAAGCAAAATCTCTCACAAAATAGACATTTCTGGTTGGTGGTTTGAACCTACCCCTCTGAAAAATATGACGAATCGTCAGTTGGGATGATGACATTCCCAACTGAATGGAAAAATAAAAAAATCTTCCAAACCACCAACCAGATTTCTGGTAGGTCGATGAATCAAGAAATCTGGTGTCCTGCCACGTCAAAAAATTCTTTGTAAAGCTGGTCGTCTCAAGTTGGGACATTCTTTTGGTCCAACTCTTGGCCCATGACCGCAAGGTTCTGACACGCGGTGAAATATTGCTGGTTGGTCCAACCCAATACGATATGTTTAAAAAAGAAAGTCAAAAACATAAGCCTATCATATAGCCTATCTATGCCTATTTTATGTGTTGGGAACCCAATACTAGTGTTTTAATATATATATATATATCTGGTTGGTGGTATACCTGCCCCTCTGAAAAATTATTATTTGTCAGTTGGGATTAGAACTTCCCAGTATATGCAAAAATATTTTAAAAATATTCCAAACCACCAACCAGTTAAAGATGTTTTATGTTTCCATATATTAGGAATGTCATAATCCAAACTGACTAATAGTTATTGTTCATATATTTTAAATATAGTTTCCATTTGTAGATGGTTTTACCTATCAAAAATGGTGATTTTCCATAGCTATGTTAAATTACCAGGGGTAAATGGCAAATTAGTGGGATATATAGATATAGTTGGGATTTCTTTGTTGGATGTTGCATATCATGGATTAATTATTAATATTGGGTAAATTAAAATATTTCACTAACCTGAATTAAGGCCATTTGGGGATGATTTCCAATACTAACCATTATTCCAGTGAGGGAGAACAGTGAGGTCGTTATAACTTACCCAGATATATGTATATACATGTATATATCTACGAGATACAACGAGATACTTGGTTACTATTATTCTTACACTTGTATTCCCAGTATATATCCCAGATATCTTGGGTTATATGGGTATGGGTCAAAATTAGGTACCCCAAAATTATGGATGGTTAATACTAAACTAGACATTCACATCTGTGGTCCCACATCGGTCTTCCATTTTGACCCACATCCATATGGTCTTCAAAACCTCTGACCCCAAAAAACCCCGGGCCGGCGAATAAGGATAAAAGCCGTGGCGCCATCCACCATAGCCTCGTTGCGAGGCCTCGGAACGGCCGAACGGTAAACGTTTACAGTTTGCGAACTGGAAAGATCCACCATGCTATTTTCATGGGAAAAGTCACTATGGAATATTGATCATGGAATATTAATGGAAATGGAATATTAATGGAAATGGAATATACTGGTTGGTGGTGCAATAACCATCTTGAAAAATATGAAAGTCAATGGGCAGGATGACATCCCGTATATTAAATATTATGGAAAATAAAACTCATGTTTGAAACCACCAACCAGTTATGATTTAGAATTGTTACAGATGGATCATTTTCGAGATGGTGATATTGCAGCACTTAAGGATATCTGGTTGGCGGTTGAGCCCTACCCCTCTGAAAAATATGACTTCGTCAGTTGGGATGATGACATTCCCAACTGAATGGAAAAATAAAAAATGTTCCAAACCACCAACCAGTTGTATATTTAGTTAATGGTTAGAATTCTGAGTATATTGTCTCGATTATGATTATGATGGATATGATGATTCTGGATATGATTATTATGGATATGATTCGGACTATCATGGGTTTTTTGGGGGATACTATTAATTATTAGTAATCCATGACAATTATCTGAGTAATCATGGATTATTATAGATTATCACCTATAAACCACCCATGACTGGGAATGGTAAACATACCACCTATAAAAATGGTGATGACTGGGGGTTTATGACATTGTTTTACCCACATGACTAAAATAATTAGCTATCTGAGTATATAATCACGGATTGTCATGTTACCGTGGTTCTGGGTAAATTATAATAATTCACCAACCTGAAATGTTGGGCCATGTTGGGACGATTTCCCCAAAAATGAACCATATTTCCATATGTCCATATTTCCATATTTCCATATTTAAATTCCCATATGTCCCAGATATTTCGTGGTTAAATCCACCATTTTTCGTAGCCAAATCCTCCAGAAATTCCGCAAGCGCAGGGCTTCCGCGCCCGGGCAGGATGGTTTCGATGACCTCCGTGGCTGGGATGTGAAAGATTTCACAAATGGGCGTTTTATTAATGGGATATATTTATACATTATGTATACCCTGTGGATCCAAGTACCTTCTTAGGAAGTGTTTGGAATATAATTTACTATAGTTTGGAGGCTTAAGTACCTTCTCAGACAGTGTTTGGATCCATAGGGATATATTTATACATTATGTACCCTCTGGTTATTCAACATAGCCATGGAAAGATCCACCATCTTAATAGGCAAACCATCTATTTCTATGGGTCATTTTCCATGGCTATGTTAAATAATCAGAGGGTATATATATATGTTGTAATGGATAAATTTAATAAAGTAGATGTATATGCAAATTAGAGCTATATAATCGAGCCCATGAGATATATTTACCTATTTATATTGAATCCTTTATAAATATAATCCCATAGTAATATAGTATATCAATATTAATACAATATGGGCTTTATCCATTTTCCATTATGGGATTTGTATATATCTTTCCTATTATTGGACATATTTAATCGATGGAACTGGATATATTATTGGATATATTAATGGATATAATCCCATTATTGATGGGATTATATGGAAAGATACTATGATGGACGTATTTTCTTGATCGACATAATTAATGGAATGATCATGTCGTGTAGTAACATGTATTAATGGGATATATTGTTGGATAATTCAAAAGTCGTATCACCAAAACTCACCAAGTTGATCTAGTGATTTGCACATTTTCTGTGCTTGAGGCTTGAACCAGTATATATCTGGGTAGGTATATAAACTATAATATTTCACTAACCTGAATTAAGCCCATTTGGGGATGATGTCCCTAAAATTAATCCCCTGATTCCCAGTGAGGTCGCGGTGAGGTCGTTATAACTTACCCAGATATATGTATATACATGTATATATATATACTGGGAAGGTAATGGGAATATAATGACATCTAATGGAATATAACAAACAATTTGATGGTACGTATCATCATGGGAAATAATCATAGCGTGGGATTATAATGGAAATGATAGGATTCAACCAATAATAGTGGGATGTATGGTCAAGGGCCATGCAACAGGAACCGATTGATTGGAGGTACCGATTCCATACATGTAAGGCCTATTTTTCAGGCCTAAATTTCAGGGAATATCCCCACAAAGTATAGCCAAAAATATGGTACGTTAAACGTACCTCCTATCCCCCTAATGTTAAACATGTGAAAGCCTCTTTGTAAGTCCCAAAGATGTGGTAAATTTACGACTAAACCATGGTTTCTGGTGGATGTCTAATGAATACGACATACAACTATTCTTGGTTTCTATTATTCTTACAGTTGTATTCAGTTGTATTCCCATTATATATCCCACTATTATTATTATAGTTACTTAACCAATATAATGGGAAGAGAACTGTATTATCAACTGGGAATATTACTGCTATATTATTGGTATCATTCATCCCACTAACCAATATACCGAATGATTTTTATGATGAATTGGTTTCTACCCTGGCTTTCGTCGGCGCCGCCGGCCCGCCTTTTTTGATTTTTAAGAGCTGATCACGAATGTAGAGTTCGTCCTGCGACACCAACGTTTGCGACCCATCAATTATGGGTGGGATTTATAGGGAAACCATGGGGATTTTATAGGGGATTTCTAGGGATTTATAGGGGATATAAAAGGGATTTCTAGGTGATCTATTTTCGGGGATTTTATAAAAAATTATCCCCTGGGAAACTCACATAGCCATGGTATTTAGGCCTATTTATGCCTATTTATAGTTGATTTACCTACTAAAAGTAGTACTTGTCCATCGTTGTTTGGTATGTTTACCAAACATTCACCGATAGGAAAGTGAACTTAAGTGAAGCAGCATCACTTGCTGAGGATTTTGCTCCCAGAAATGGGGAAGTTGACCGGAGCCCGTCATAATGCCTCGCTCAGGGGGACTTTGTTGATACCTTGGCTGTGTGGATCCATTTTCACCCACGAAATCACATCTAACAAGGGACTTTTTTGGACAAGCACATCCCAAGCATGTTGATGGCTTTTGTCAACCCTTCTGGAAATATGGCAAGTGCTGCGAAATCAGTATGTTCATCATGCAACTCGTGCTGAATCCCAGTATCTCCCAGTAGAAACTCTAATCAACAATCATCATTCATCCTGATATGCCTTAACTATGCTTACCATCTGGTTATCACTAGCTATGACTAGCAGTTCGCCATGGAAAAATCCACCATTTTTAACCATGGCTCCACCGGTCTCCTCCCGCATTCGCATCGCTGAATCGAAGCCCCGGTTGTCCGCGAACTCCACAAAACCTGCGGTTTTGTTAACTGGATCAGCTACCGTAGTACCGGGCTGAACGAAAATGTTTCACATCCAGAAAACTGGTGTGAAAAATGTTTCTGGGGTTTGTTGGTTGGCTCAATTTTTCTGATGCCTGGACTGGTAAAGTACCATCTGGTTATGACTAACATAGCCATGGTAAGCCATGGCCCATAGAAATAGATGGTTTACCGAACTTAAAAATGGTGGATTTTTCCATGGCGAACTGTTAGTCATAACCAGAGGGTATAATATATGATCATCATTTTCCCATCAAAAAACATCCATAAACAAAATCGTTATATCTACCATAAACCATAGTTAAGCCAATAACCAGATGGTACCTAAAATTACTTCAGGTTGGTCAGCTCCAGAAAAAAATCCAAGCCGTGGAGGCCGAGGCGCCCCATAAGAATTGTTCCTCTCGTCCTCTGGAAACAAACACCTCAGTGTTGCTAGGCAGGTGTGAAAATGATGTGTATATATAACATATCAAGACAGTTAAGACATATTTATATACATGTACATATGTAATCATATGTATGTATTGTATTGTATTGTATTGTACTGCATCGTATTGTATTGTATTTTATCAAATTATTTTATGTTATATCATACTATTATTTTACATTATACTATACTATACTATATTACATTACATTACATTATATTATATTACATTATATTATATTACATTGTATTATATTATATTATGTTTTTTGTATTATATTATGTTATGTATGTATATTTCCATGGTAGGTTCTTTCAAGCTCCTTTCTTGCTGCTTCAATGCGGATTTTTCCTCCATCCCCATGGTCGTCTCAAATTTTGTCAAGTTGGCCAATCTGTGATATCTGTGATACATACAGATGTATATATATATACATGTTTCCATCTGTGATATATTTTTATCTTTGATATCCCAGATGTGATATATATATATATATATGTGTATATATATATATCTTTGCTATATATATAATATCTGGGCACAGTTCTCCCTCTGTGCAGGTGAACTTCGTCGATGTGACCGCATCGCTGGAAGGTGTTTCTGATCTCCTGGCGGACGACCATGGTGCAATCAGACTATGTATCGTATACGTATACAATATATACAATATATAATACATATAATTATATACAATATATACACAATATATATATATATACTATATATACAATATATATATAATATATACGATATATAATATATACGATATATACAATATACAATATATACAATATATACAATATATACAATATATACAATATATACAATATATACAATATATACAATATATACAATATATACAATATATACAATATATACAATATACAGTATATATACAATATGTATATATATATATAATATTATGTAGTACACAATGGCTACTGTAGTGCTTGTGCCCAAAATGACGTCCAAAATCGCCTTTTCGGTCACATCAGCTGGCAGCGAGCCAACCTCATGGGATCGAACGACAGTGATGGCCCCATTTCTATGGTGATTTCTATGGTGATTTAATCAACCAAAAATTGTGTGTTAATGGACTTTAATGGACTTTAATTGTGATTTATGGTGATTTCTATGTTGATTTCTATGGTGATCAAGAATGGTTAATAATGGTTAATAGTGGCTAAACATGTGATTAATGAATGTTAATGATGGTTATAACTTAGAACATGGTTATGTTTGTCCTGAAATACCACCATAAAAATGGTTCATTTATAATCCCATAGAAATAACCAGTTATAACTATAAATGGCCATAACTGTTTTTCATTCATGGGATAAAGCACATATCAACTGCTGCAGGAGCTTGCAACCATCCACAGTATTTCCAGTCAAATGACGTGTACAATATCGGCATTAAATCATTTACACATCTGCATTTTAGATATGAGTCAAAGTCTTGTAGCCAAGAAAAATGAATGGTCGTTTCCAGAAGATGAGCAGTCAATCTGCTATCTCCGCCTTCGTGTCACTGGGTTGATATTCCAGTAAAAATCGGAAGCCCATAATTCTAATCAAACAAGAAAAGATGAAAATTACCCTCTGGTAAACTAACATAGCTATTGAAAATGGCCATTTATAGTGGATTTTCCCATGAAAAATGGTGGTTTTCCATAGCTATGTCAACGTTTACCAGGCCGGGTAGTCTTCGGGTAGACCGGTAATGCGGTAAACCTGCCATAGACCATCCCCAAGCCATCGAAAGGGCAATTGCCACGAATTCATGTGGGTAATATAACCATAGTTACTATGGGGTTATAACATGTTATAACCGTTATCCCATATGGAGGTTAGAATCCCATAGTTATACCCATTAATAACCCCAATCGTATTGGATTGTACAGTAATGATTCCAGTTGAAATGATTGAAATGATTCTTACAACCACTACCAATCATCAACCAGCTATGATATTCATGGATTACATCTTCACTCTTGAAGGTTACAGGAACATCAACAGATCTATCCTCATGCTTGTTGTCCTTGTTGTTGGCTCGGACGTCGGGTTCCGTCGCATAACAGAGGTTCAGTTCGTATTGCAAAATACAGGTCACTTTGCTTCCGAAGGCATTTTTCTTTGGTGCCCGCAGGAGATCGTAAGGGTGGCATTTTGCATTGGTATTTGCAGTGAATTTGAGCATATTGCAAAAAAAAAACTAAAAAGTCCCAAGTGTTGCGTTGCACATTTTTGACTCATGACATGTTAGAAAAAATCATGATTTCTAACGATGAACATCGTCAGATTTGAATTTATCACTTCTTCGGTACAGTACGACATTGCCATGGATGTCATTGACATTGCACTTCGGCTATCGCTGACCTAACCTTCCAGCTCGAAGCAACCGCATCTGGCGCTGTGCCGCGGGGGTCGGGGGCAACAACCGTATATTTCTGCGTTCTTGATGCTATACGCCCTATACGCTCCTCAAAGTTCCAGTAACTTCTAAGACGCTCTTGATGCTACGCTCTTCAAACTTACTGGTTACTAATCCTGATTACTAAGCCCAATAAGTGTGTCTATACTAATCTATACCATGTATAAACGGCCTATAACCCAACTTATCAACCACCTACTAAATAGATCTAAATAGTATATGAACCTCCAAGTAGTTGTAGATTCAACCATTTGACATCATGTGGGACCTCAGTGATGTCACAAATGATGAAAGTAGCATGGGTGATGCTGAAGATGGCGATGACGATGTTGACGATGATGACGATGATGAGGATGATGACGATTAGGATGAGGATGAGGATGAGGATGAGGATGAGGATGATGATGGTGATGATGATGATGATGATGACGACGATGATGACGATGATGATGATGATGATGATGATGATGATGAATCCTGGTGTGCTCCGATGGCGTCGTACCTCGACGTCCGAGCGTTATCGTTTCATACTGCATGCATGCATACATGTATGTAACTGTATGAGTCTATCCCTATACCCTATGTTATGTAGATATATGGCAGTGGGTCAAAACCTTGTACCCCTGGTGAACATCAAAATAGCTGGTAAATGGATGTTCATTCCCCTAAAAATGGTATTAATAGGTATTGATCCATACCCATATGTAGAGAGAGAGAGAGAGACAGGGCAATCTACCCCATAATTTGCAGTTCTGTTTCCCCATGTTCGTTGCTTGATATTACTGAGCTCAAAGCCCACAAAGTCTTCTGCTCGTCACCCATCACGAGGGGAGCAGTGAAATTTCGTCGCGAAAACGATCGGGTTTTCTGAAGAAAAACTGAACCCTGGAGAACTCCCGCGTGAAGCACATTGAGTATGTTGAGTTGAAATCGGATTTTGCCTGAAGACAGCAACGACAAAACCTTGATCACTGTTTTGAAAAAGAAATACCTTCCAGAAAATTAACATAGACCCTGGCAGATAGGGGTTGGAAGATTAGTTTCCACTAAAACATTGTTATTTTCAGGGGCCAACTGTCAATTTACCAGAGGGTAGAAATTGAGTACAAAAAAATGTGTTGTGAATGCTCGCTCTGCTTTCCAAGACTTCATTTCTTCAACTTCTCAAAAGTACGTTGTTTCAAGGGAAGGGACACCTCCGTGCTCCCCTCCATTAGGGCCATCGTCAATCCATGTATTCCGAATTGGAATTGGTGCCCAATTCGGAGATCCATTTCAAAACTGGGCTGTCGTGATAATCGTTTCTGTCTCCTCCATGAGTGGCTGAAAGCAGCTGCAGCCACGGAAACCCGGAATGCTGGCCGTTGGGGACCATCATGAACCATCCATTTTTTGAAATGATGGACAACAAGAAATCCCCAAGAAACCACCAACACCAAGGTGCTTGGTTTTACCACCATTGCTTGCTTGCGATGGCAGAATTTTGCTGGTTATAGATTTACTTATATATATATATATACAGTATATATATATATACATACGCATACCATTTGGTTTCGGTTGGACCAATCTGTTAAAAAGAAAACACAAATCAATGGCTATTTGCTCCTTTGTTAGTCAAAGAATTGCTGGTTCGAAGTCTTCATGTAAGGCTAATTGCTGGGAAATCAATCTAGAACTCCTTATCTGTAACCCATTTCAATAGCTCTGGAGTTTTACAGATCTGGCTGATCTGAAAAAGTCCCCACAGATTCGTCATTGAGGAGATTCAACATCACCTGAAGCAAACTCTGGGGAACCAGTTTCCCATCTTTTACCCTCCAGAAATCATTAACTTGGCAGGTTGGCAAATCTACATGGAGGTATCTAGCTGCAAAAATCATCCCTAGATGTTGGATTTCCCTATGTTTGTTGAGTGTTGGAGGCGAGTTGGCGCCAACGACCATCAACGACCACTTCAAAAACGGAATTTTTCGCTGCTCACGTCTTTTGCTCACGGCGCACCGGTAGCAGACTCAACAAGCTGGTCCTCAGCTCAGCTCACTCTTCGTCGTCGTCAATGACCGCACCTGCGACAACCACCAGGGTGGATTTCAGCAGCATTTCGGTGTTCCAAAATGAAGAAGAATGAGGTTTTTTACCATGGTTTTTACCCTCTGGTTATGTCAAAATAGCTATTGAAAATGGCTATTTATAGTGGATTTTCCCATTAAAAATTGTGATTTTCCATAGTTATGTTAGTTTACCAGAGGGTACCATCTTTTACCAGCCATTTTTTGGAGAACGAGATACATCGAGATACCACATATGGCATCAGGGCGCATCGATTCCATTCGATTCCCAGTCCATGTTTTTTCCCGATCTTCGGCCAGGGAAAGCACCATGGGACCCACCTATCGTTGGCCAACGAAATATGGCGACTTTTTCTGGGATCTCCAGCATGGCATAAAGAATCCATATTTCATCACATTTTCACTGGCCATCTCAGGAACCTAAATTGGAGGTACCTACCATATATAAGGCCTATATAAGGCCTATGTAAGGGAATATCCTTACAAAATATGGCCTTATATGGTACTAACGTACCTCCATTTTAGGATCCTGGAATTCCCATTGACATTTCATTGCTGTATCTCCAGCTTTCATGGCTACATAGCCATTCTTCATGGTTTCTAATCTCTATCGTTGATGCTCCCCTTGCCAACCTGGAGTAAGATGCGACGTTACCTCAGCACCCCACTCTTCCAGTCACGTCATCTCGGGCGTATTAGTGACTGGTAAGCCAACAAAACTGGGGCATTCAAAAAGTTTGAACCATATAATCCCATATATATATATAAACGTGTATATCTATATATATATATACATACAGAAATCTAACATATCATATCATATATGTATCTGTGTGTGCACGAACCAGACAAATTGCTTCCAGAATATGGTCTTTTATTCCTAGCAACGATGCACACCCGATGGTGGCTCACTTGGGCCATGGCGCCGCTGTGACTTGGGCCCTTGGGCCACTTCCCACATGGCTAAATTCTAAATCGATGATCATGGTTCGAATCCTTAAAAAACCAGGAGAAATGCAGTGAAGATACAAGCCTCAAGAATATGTATACATAATATATATATATATGGTCATATATGGATATACATGTTTATGTATGTACATGTAAATATAAATAAAATACACATATTGGGTACGGGTCAAAAACTACCCCAACATCTGCCAAATCGATGGTCCCCAAGCACCCCAAGCGAGCATTGGATGGTTTATTTCATGGAAATTCCATCCAGAAAAAAACATAAATGGATGAGAACTAGGAAACCTCCATATATACTATATATATATTATAACTGGTTGGTGGTTTGAACCTACCCTCTGAAAAATGATGGAGTTCGTCAATTTGGATGATGACATTCCCAATATATAGAAAAATAAAACTCATGTTCCAAACCGCCAACCAGATATGTTGAATCCCACATATTTATACTATATTTTGGGAAACCTCCATATATACATATATCTGGGCAAATTACAATAATTCACTAACCTGAATTAAGGCCATTTGGGGATGATTTCCCTTACTAACCATGATTCCAGTGAGGTCGCAGTGAGGTCGTTATAATTTCCCCAGATATATATATATATACACTATATCTATTATAATGAATATGATCCGCCACAATTTTGGCGCCCCGGCCATGACCTGCATCCTTTCTTCGGCCTAAAGAAATCCCCACTTTGGGATAGGGGGAATTGTCAAGGCAAAATTCACTAAGAATTTTATGGCGGCTTATTGAAATTTAACAAACAAACATGGCGTTTTACTGAGATTTAACAAACCAAAATGGCGTTTTCTATTTTGAGACTTACCCTCTGGAGCCTCTGGATCGATCCCATCCCATTCAAAACGGGTGTCTAATCGAACTAAATGGTGGAAACAGTTGGGATGATGACATTCCCAACTGTTTCTGGAAAGTCATAATCCATTCATGTTCCAGTCACCACCAACCAGCCATACAAATCATGGCTGTCTTTCTCGGAGAATCATCGAATTAAATGGTGGAAAGAAGATCTTCGATTTTTACCCATCCTGGACCTATCATGGATTGGTCCAACATTGATGGTGAAATGATACCGAAATGATGGTGAAATGTGAGGTAAAATGTTGTTGTAAAATGGTGTAAATTCTTTTCTGCTGGCTTAGTGTGGACTTGTAGCTAACAAATACATAATATGGTAAACCCGATCAAGCAAGGAGTAGGTTTGGTCATGACAGATTTGTTTCAGGCACAGCGCAAAGGAAACAAACCTTCTGATTCGAAAGTGGGCCCTGCCCTTCTAGGAGAGTTGAGGGAAGTTGTTTTTCTTCTCACCATGTTTTTTGTGTTTGTTCTTCCAACTTGTAGACACACACACATACTTATTTCCGCGCTAGTATGGGGATAGCCAAAAGCCAGGGCGCTGATGGATGCGCACGTTCATTTAGTTTGGGGGTTTAACTGATTTAACCATCCTTAAATTGGATTCAATAATTTTGTGCCATAAGCAATGTTTTACACCAAACAATGGTATTCACAGCAAAAAAATAGTCATGAAGTCCATAATCAAGGCGTAATGAGTATGTGAGCAGTGGAACTACCCTCTGATAATTTAACATAGCTATTGAAAATGGCCATGAAAATTGTCATTTTCCCATTTTTAAAATGGTGATTTTCCATAGTTATGTTAGTTTACCAGAGGGTAAACATATTGGTCATATTAGAAAAGCCCTTGTAACACTTGCTTTTCATGGCGATGTTTAGCGCATGGATTATGATCATGTCCAACATACCAAGGGTAGTCTAACCCCCCAATCGTCAATTAACGTCATCAACCAAAAGTGAAGTCATGTCATGTTTTCTATCATAAGATCACCATTTCTGGCATTTCTGGTTCTGAGTCAAGTCATTGGAAAAAATAGAAAAGCCATGAAAAGCCATATAATACCAGTATTATACCATTATTATACCATTATTCACCCCAAGATTTAGATGGTGAAAATTTCCGAAAAATCGGTCCGAAAAATCCATCTGGTCCCTCAGGTCCTTTATAAAAGCCATATATTTCATGCTGATTACCCTCTGGTTATGACTAACAGTTCGCCATGGTATAGATGGCCCTAATCGAAATAGATGGTTTACCGAACTTAAAAAATGGTGGTTTTCCATGGCGAACTGTTAGTCATAACCAGAGGGTAAACCAGAAACCCAAAAAGAGCGTGTCGGGGTAGAAACCTCCGTGTTTCGGCCATCTACCTGGCGCAGAGCCGGCGCAAAAAATTTTAAGTCTGGGGTGTAGCGATTTAATCATGGGGAATATAGATATAATACCCTCTGGTAAAACAGTTGGACCCTGAAAATAACGCATTTTTAGTGGAAACTCATCTTCCAACCCCTATCTGGCAGGGTCGTCATGTTAATTTACTAGAGGGTATAATGTTAGGAATGAGTCATAGTAGCAGTAAGTATAATGTACTATAATAATCATGGTTCTAGTACTATAATATAGATACTAATTGTGAAATGATATTATTCCCATGATTATAGGTATATCCCCCATGATTCATTGAACTATAACTGACTAGTAATATAGATGCTATTCATGGGAATAACTTATAACTTATAACTATTATAGCTCATGGGGATATAGATATTATTGTGAACTATAATGATAGTAATGACTAATAGTACATTGAGAATGTGAAGGCGACGATATATTTTTGTCATTGGGAATATATTGTAATATTGTGAATAGTATATCAATATACCTATTGTAATATTGTAAGTTATAAACATATAATGGTATCACAATATAATATAATGGCT